GTCTTCTGCATTGTAGGATGTTTAGCAGGATCCCTGGCCTCTAACCACTAGATACCACTAGTGCCCACTCACACATTTGGGACAACCAAAAATGTCTTCACTCTTTGCCAAATACCTCCTTGGGAAAGACAAAAATCACGTCCTCTCACTCCTTTCAGAATCATTTATCTAGCTAAAAGATTCTCAATTTGTGCATATGCAGGTGTTTCTGTAGGGTAGATTTCTAGAAGTCAGATTGCTGGATTGAATGATACTTTTGATAAATGTTGCCAGATTTCCTTCCATAGGGGGTACTATTTGACACTAGCAATGCAGGACATTGTGTGGTGCTCCATAGTGTCACAGAAAAGTGAATGGCCAAACTGATTTTTTTCCCCAATCTGATAGGTGAGGGAAGATGTCTCAGTGTTATTTTCAAGTTTGCTTTGGCAGGATGATTTTTTTTTATTATTCTGCTGTCAAAGGGAATGCCTGAACAATATTTGTTACTTCTTGAAAGTTATGCTTCTCAAACTTGGTCATTGTTCGGACAATTTTTTTTTCCTTAAGAAAGGAAAAAAGTTGTTTTTTGTCTTTGTCTGTGGTCTTCAATTATTTCGTTATCCTAAAAACAAAAGGCCAAAGTGAGAGGCAACAAATGATTATATGAGATCAAATAGAACTGCAATTCTGGGAAACACTAATTCGGCCAGAAACCCAAATAGTGTTCTGATTAGGAGGTTAAGGCAAGGCGTACTTATGAGCAAGGGCAGGAAAAGAATTACATGGATAGAAGGAACTCCCACTGGTGTTAACAAGGCAAGGAAGGAATTTCTATAGGTGCAAATAAGCAAAGTTATTTTTCAGCTATACATGGTGGAGCTTATTTTAAATAACATCTTTAATTTTTAGTCTGGCAGTCAGAATGTCTGCTTCCCTGTTAGCTTTGCATGCAGTTATTTGGAATAAACATTGCTTTTCCCCATCCAAACATTATTTTGCCCACTTGAGACCATCCAAAGATTTGAGGAGAAAGCCATGCAGGGCAGCTCCTCTGGGATGGTGACTCGGACTCCACTGTGAGGTGTCTCCATGTATATTGTTTTCACAATTTTTACTAAGCCATTATTTAAATATGTTCAAATACATTAAAAAAACATATCTTTAGCTCCAGCTTCTATGCAGCTCTACAAATGAACTAACTGGTTTATAAATTAAATAAAAACTGAACGACCAAACTAAAACATTCAAATTAACAGCACTAGTTTCATTTAGTTTACTGTCAATATTTAATCACCACAGAGAGCATGAATATGGGACTGCTTGTTAAGGAGGATCCTTGTGTGCTCTGTATTTTCAGATAAATGTGGGGGAAAGATTTTCACACTCAGAATGAAAGGAATTTCATCTCAATTATTGCTTGTCCTACATACAAATTTCTTGGGCATGGTCAAATTATTAATTTATCTGTGTCCATGGCCTTATAGTGACCATAAGACTTTCTGTTATGTATAAATGAGGAAAAACATTGTGAAGCCTGCTTGAGTTTCATGATGGACGAGAGAAAAAAACTATTTGCATTGAGTTTAGTGAGATAGACATAGGGAAAAATAAATTTGCTCTAATGATTTTAAAGTATGATTCCCATTAATCAAAATCCTCATTACCAATATATTTTCAATCCAAGTGCTATGAAAAGTATGAAGGTTAATATTACATTCTATTCCTTGTTAAAGTCTTATGAGGCAGTTGAACAAGGGATTTACTGTTACTCAAAATAGATTGTGCACCACAATGTGAATATGTTTAATATTACCAAAATGTAAACTTAAAAATGATTAAGATAGTGTATTATGTTATGTGTTTTATACCATAATTTAAAAAACTCAGAGAATTGCTATAGTTGGAGTGGCTCAATGGATTGAGTGCCGACCTGAGAACTGAAAGGTCACAGGTTCAATTCCCTGTCAGGGCACATGCCTGGGTTGCGGGCCAGGTCCCCAGCTGGGGGCGTGAGAGAGACAACCATGTATCTCTTGCACATTGCTGTTTCTCTTCCTCTTTTTCCCTCCTTTCCCCTCTCTCTAAAAGTAAATAGATAAAATCTTCAAAAAAACCCTCAGAGAACTATATAATTAAGTATGCACATTTTATTATATGTGAATAATCACAATGCAGTAGATTTTAAAAATACCTTATCAAAATGCATATTTAAATGGATACAGTTTATTAGACATAAATCATACCTCACTATAGTTGAAAAAACTTAAAGAAGTCACACAATCCTTTGCAGTTGATCCTAATTTCACTTTCGCTCATGCTTTGGTGACATCATACATAATGCTCCTTCTCCTCAGTTCATGCCCTGTGCCCCACCCCTATTATCCAACTTTGCCTGGACAACTCTTCCTCCATCTTTTGAAATGAGTTCTAATGTGACTCTAGAAAATAGTCTCAACAAATATGGCCTAGCTGCCCTTCTAATTGTTCCCATAGTATTCCATGCTTAACTGAATCACAGTAGGGTATGAGTATTGTTAAGATGTTCACGGTCCATGCAGTAAGGTCACAGTGGTGAGTTGCCACCAGAGTCCCAATAGTTTGTTTACTGTGAGATTTCATAGTACCAGTTATGATCCTGGTCGAAATATCTTAAGGATTCCACCCTTAGCCCAGGCTCAGAACCTCAATCCCTATCAGCACACTAAAAGTAGATCAGGTTCTACTGACATTAACCAAGTTCACAAGACACAATAAGAAAAATATAAAAAACATTCTAGGAACCAGAATGCTGCAAGTCCAGACAAGCAGCGGATTTTCTTCCTCTGCAGGCACAGAATTCTCTTCACTTCACACTTAGGACATGGCAAAAAACATTTGCCATGTTGTGTGAATTCCACATTGCTTCAGGGATACATTCATAAGTCAAATCACAGGTACTAGATGTTTCTTCATTGTGAGCATGATAATAGTGAAAAATGGGTTAAACTATATCAAATACTATATGCATTTTTTGCCATTGGAACTGCTTGAGATAGTTGATTTGCTCTCTGCCATGAAATGGGAGATGATGTGAACACGTTATTATAAAAGGGTCTTATAGTCATTCAAGTTCTGGCCTACAGGGAGGGAGACATAGGCAGCTCTTCAGAAGGGTGCACTCTGTACCTGGCTGTCTTGTACAGCAGTTACTGGAACATGCTGGCTTCATCTTTGGGAAAACCCAAATATGGAGGAACTCTTACTATGTGTCCCCATATTACACACAAGGGAACTGCTGCTCAGAGGGAGTGGATGAATGTCCAGGACCCATGGCCAGACATTGGTGACCTGGGATGGCCCAGCCAGGTCCCCTGGCCCCATTGTTGAAGCTGGCTGGGCAGCCTCCTACCAGCCCTCTATGTCCAGCTCTCTATAACAGGCACTCTATGATCAGCCCTCTATGACCAGCCCTCTATGACATGCCAGGAGGCAGCAGACAGTGATGAACAAGGTGAAAACCTCTCATGTGGACATTCATAGCAGAGTGGGTAGTTTTCTGCAACATGTAATGTGACAACTTAAAAAAAAACACACTGCTAGCCTAAAAATAAAAGGCCAAAGTGAGAGGCAACAAATGATTATATGAGATCAAAAAGAACTGCAATTCTGGGAAACACTAATTCAGGCAGAAACCCAAATAGTGTTCTGATTAGGAGGTTAAGGCAAGGTGTACTTATGAGCGAGGGCAGGGAAATAATTACATGGATAGAAGGAACTCCCACTGGTGTTAACAAGGCAAGGAAGGAACTTCTATAGGTGCAAACAAGCAAAGTTATTTTTCAGCAATACATGGTAGAACTTATTCTAAATAACATCTTTAATTTTTAGTCTGGCAGTCAGAATGTCTGCTTCTGACTGTTTCTAAGTGTTTCTAAGGCTCATATGTGCTTGAGTCCATCACTTGGGACACAATTCATACAGAATATACTTGTAATCTTAAAACGTGTATTCAGCCACTGATAAGGCTATGTTACTCTATTAAATATATGAAGAACAAAATAGGTGTTTCATTTGAGAATGAGCTTTATAATTGTGTTTATACTGTAATATTTAGTAATCATTAAGAACTGCTTGAACTGCATGTCTTAGATCAGATAGTGGCCTTTGGGTATTTCTGTTTAATGTACCAGTGTCCAGGAAAGAGGACAAAAGGATATATTCCAAGTGGCAGTTACAACACTGGCTAATAATCCCTGTCTCAAGTACTTTTATTTATTTATTTAGTGTTTGGACTGAGGCAGGATATAAATAAGTGAAATCAACCGGACTATAAACCCTTTCATACATGTTTTATGTTTTCCTCACCGTTCCCCATTCCTCAGGTAAAGCCCAGTTGCATGAAATAAAGACTGACTGCCATGCCACCCCCTCTGCCACCACCCTCTGCCACCACTCCCTGCTTTTAGATGTTTCCCATTATAAATGAAGCCTTTGGCCCCACAGTCATGGTCTCCAGTCCCCCATTCCACCCCTAATTATTGCCATCATTCTTGGAGCCCAGCCCCCACTGCCCCTCCTCCAACCTCCCACACTCTTCTCCCTCTCCAACCTAGAGGTCTCACAGGCCATGACTTGCTCAGAACACCTGAGGAAGTCTCCTCACCCCATTACCTTTGCCGGCTACTGCCACCAGCACCCCTGCCTATGATGTCACCATTAGAAACTGCCCTCCATCCCAGATTCCAGCTACTCCCAGAAGTGTACCTCCCCACAATGTCACCATCAGAAACTGCTCCTAATCCCGGATTCCAGCATCCTCACTGACCGCACCTTCCACCCTCCAACTCTCTATGAGTCACCTCCTCCTGGATGTCTCACAGCTATTGCACTCCCAAAATGACTGAAACATAGGAGTCAGATGCAGGAGGATGGATGGATTTCCATCCTTTAATGTCAACCATTGATAACACAGCCTGGTTTCCTGAGCTATGGGACAGTGTGGCTTGGGCTGCTGTGATGACTCTTGCCGGACTCAAGGTTCAGCCCCTCTTCCTGGATTCAGGCATCTGGTCAAACAGACTGAAGGCTGCATCCTGAGGGCGGCGGCAGGGCTCTCCATCGTTGCTTGCTGCTGGGTGATCTGTTGTATCTTGCTGGGTGATCTGCAGCTGTCCGTTGGTGGCCTCAATGCCTACCATCTCCACAATGTAGTTGGTCAGGCAGTCCAGCATGACCATGTGGAAGTCATTTGTGGATGAACTCTGATGTTGACCGTGCTGATCCTTTACTAGAAGGCGATCCACATAGGTCAAAGGGCACTGAAACTTCGCTGTTAAAAGAAGGTCCGGAGTCTCAGAGTTTTGTTTCTGTGCCATGATTGCTGGGTTTGGCTCTGATCAGCCGTTCTTAATTCTCCAGCTGCCCTGGACCTCTGGAGACACCAGTGACCAGCACTGCCTGTTAGAGCCCTGTGCTCAGCCCCTCGTTGCTCAGGGAGCCCTTTGTGACATCCTAGACTTTGGGATGTCATCGGTGCCCATTGTGACCTCATCAGGCCCCAGCCCAGAGGTGTCCATAACAGGGGCCTGGTTACTATAGTGACTGGTCCCTGACTTCAAGGGAACTGGCATTTCCTGCTTGACTTTAACATTGTAGAAATAAATGTGTTTCAATGGAAAACTTTTCATCTTTAACACACAATTCCAGGTTACGTGATTCTAACCTTACATTGCCTTCAAGGTCCTTTACAATCTTTGGTTAGCTGTAGTTTACTGATAAACAAGTAAAATGTGTTGTTCAGTTGAGATTAAATTGCCCCCACCCCATGATATAAAGAAACCAGTTTTGCCTCCATGTGTACATTCACTTAAATATACTTGATTAATATCCCCACATCTAACTTTTGTTTTCTCTTTTGAGCCAGTTATAACACCTGTCCATTCCCTCATTGAGTAAATACGATCTTTCAACACATGTTCATTTCATATATGTATGAATATCTTGATTTTGCACAGTTTGAAAAATACCTTTTCATCATTGTGGAAATCACAATGAGGTGCTCAATGGATTCATCTACCAGAACTGGGTACATATTGTTGAGAGACAGAAGTGTGCCTTGTACTCATTTTAAGCCCAGATGTGTCTTTTCTGAGTTGTCCTAGGTGAAGCCAAAGCACCAAGAGTTATTTATTCTTTTTTATCATCTTCATTTTCCTCTCTACTAATTTTGTGTTTCTGCTTTGTTTTTGGTTCATTTACAGCTGATAACAGTTATAGATATTTCCATTCCAAAAGACAGAATGTAGAAGGAAGAAAGGCGCCTCTGATCCAAGGAATTTCAACATCCAAGCAGGCAAACCTTTATATCTTCAAGGCCTGGGAATAATCCGTGGTGACTTGAGACTCTTCCTTCTGATCCCATGACTTTAGCTGGGTCCATAACTCTGACCTCCACATTCTAGGTTCTGCCTTCAGAATCATCTTTCTTTTATTTTGAATTTAGTCTGTTTGCAGCTGAGTAATTTATCAACCTGTTTTCTGCTTGTCAACACTTAGGAGCTCCACAGCCTTCTATCATTTCACCCTCTGTCTATCCTTTCAGTTAAATGATTCTGATGATTTAACATATGAAAACAGCTTGCAGACTCTCATGTATGACATGGGCATTGATGTCCTTACACAAGAGGCTCATTCACAGATCCCTCCTGGAAAGTCCCATCTCTATTTATTGGCAATACACATAAATGGTACAGGCTGTGGGGCTATGGGCAGAACACGGACAGCATCTGCTACACTCTGAAATGTATTTTATATACTTTCATTATAAAGTCTTTTCCTTTCTCCTTACCTCCTGTCCACTTTTCCTTCTTTTATTGAACCAGTGTTTATTGTGCAGCTCACCTGGTATCAAGCCCCAAGTTAGATGCTGGACGTTCAATGTTAAACAAAGCAGACATTAATTGTCTCATCCAATGGAACATCCAGTCTAGTGACAAAGACGAATGTTAAGCAAATACTAAAATAAAGATGTAATTCCAAACTGTCATACATGGTCTAAAGCAGAGTTTATCAACTTTAGCAGTGCTGACATTTTGGACTGGACAAGTCTTTTCTATTGGGCAGGTAGGCTGTGTGGCATAGGTTTTTAGCAATATCCTTGGCCTCTATCTGGTAGATGATATTAATAATAGCACCCTCCAATTGTGATGCCGCAAAGTATCTCAAGACATTGTCAAATGTCTCCTGGAGGGTATAATTATACTCTACTGAGAACCACATTACATTTTAGAAAGTATATTACAAATCAGCTGTTTTAAGATACAATGAGGAGATGTAACTTGGAATCAAGTTATCCTCTGAGGAAAGGTCTTGGAAACTGAGAACTGGCACAAGAATAGAAAATGAGGCTGAGAAGTATTAAGAGAAAGATCATTCCAGAAAGATGGAATAGGCAATGAATTTTCTAAAGTGGCAAAGTACTTGGTGTAATTGAATATGAGTACAAGAAAGATGGGAGGAGGGACTTGTAGTAACATTGTATCTTCCCATGAACAATGAAGAATCTGGAATTTTTAAAGAGGTGTCACGGTAGTTGGATCCATCATTCAAATCTGGATGGGTTTATATATATTTAATTAACCGATGATAAAAATAGGAAAAGGTTCTAAGAGAGCAAGGAAGTACAGGATGAACAGTTGTAGTACTGTGTAGAAAACTGTTTTCAGAAGTGGTCACAAGTATCTCATTATCTGAATCCATTCCATATATTCACATTTAATTTTTTTAAAAAATTCAGTATTTATTCAAAGTTTACTATGTAGTATATTGTTCCGTATTCTGTAGGGATATATTGGAAAAAATTTTAAAACACAGTTTGCATTCAATACTATTCCATACCACTGTCACATATATAGCAGAGTGGCCAGAACAACCATGCACTGTACAGAGTGTACCCCTGCTGCCTCAAGCACCCACTTGGCCCCATACCCTGTTAGATTGACATTATTGATTATATTCTCCATGCTGCAACTTTTTATCTGTTAATCATGATCAATAGTACATTCTGAACTGAATCACTGACAGAAAAATAAGTGCAAAAATGGAGGGGAATGGATAAAAAAGTCCTCTGATATATTTATAGAACTGAGTACCACTCTCCAATAAAAAACAATTACCTAGTGATATGTGAATTAACATGAATGAGTCTTAAACATTTCTTACTGTGTGAAAAAAGTAAGTACATACTCATATTATGTGATTACATTTATATAAAATTGCAGAACATGCAAAACTAACCCATGGTAAGAGAAATCAGAAGAGAAGTTGCCTATGGAATGGGTGATTGATTGGCAAGTGTCATAAAGAAACTTATTTCAGTGGATATAAAAATCTAACTCATTTTTAAAAGTTTGAAAAAGTGAAAGATGACTAAGAAAGGTATCCACTTGCCAAAGCCATTCTAATTATAACAGGGATGTCAATAACCTGGGATTGAGGTGGAACTCACTTTTTGATTCACACATACACAGATGGTAAACATTTATATATTTCAGAAATTATTTCACCTTTACTTGTAATTTGACTTATTTTGCATTTTGTCACTAGAACAGACACCAGAATGGACAGAAAGTTAATGTATCTAGAGAATTTATTATATACCAAATACTGTGTTATATGCTACATATGTTACTTAATCTCAGATTTAAAGGAATTACATAATTTGTCCAGGTTTACATAGAATATACCTTATAACTATACACTCCATGTGTTTAACTTCAAATTTTAGTTCCTCCCAACATTAATATGACTAGCTTTTTGTCCACAGAAGACTCAAAGAAACCACCATAATCACAAATTGTCATTGTAAAGGGGCTTGTCTTTTAAGTACGGCTTAAAGGATATGATGGGAATCTTGGTAAACCTTAAATGCTTGATGAGGTTGAGCCAGCCCTTGAAGCACGTATATAAAACAAAACCCAATTTACCATACTGGTGATAGTTCTTGGGGTATTTTTCCATAACAGATCAACAGGAAAAGCCTCTGTATTGCTTGTATATGAGCCCAAACAGGTTGTTTGCAGCTTCTCTTTATTATACCCATGCAGCTTTGTCATTATAGATTACTGTCCATGTTTGAGATCTTTCTCTCAGTAGTATGTATGTGAAAGTCCGCACATACTGAACCTAGGAAAAATCATTGCAGGAAGCCATCAGCTCAATAGCTGCTAACAGTCAGCAGAGGATAATCTTCTGCCTTTTTGACTAGCACCAAATTTACCGTTTGACCTAAAAAAATATTTGGCCCTATTCCACCATGAATTACACTCTCAACAACTTTAATAAATTGAAGTGATAATAAAAATAGAGTGTTATGTTTTAGTGTGTCTTTGGTCATTAGTAAATGTGATTTAATTTGAAAAATAAAAGCTTTTCTCAAGCAATGACATGAGACTTTACAAGTATTCGCAGAAATTGTGCATTTAGACATGTAAAGAAAAAAGAGTTAAAATGACAGTTTCAAAATCAGCCATTTTAAACAACAAAAAAACCCTCATGTATCATGCCTATTATCCTAAAATGGCCTTATTTTCAAATTTTTCTTTGTATTCTTTATAAAGTATCCTCTGCTGGTTAAATGTGCAGGCTCTGTTACATACGTGCTATCAGCTCTTAGTAAACAAGTGAAGACCAGATAAGATGCCCTGCAAGATGATCACCCAAGTGGAAACAATAATATGAACTGCAGCATAAAAGTTCTTTCTGAAATTTAACTGACAACCACACACAGTTTTTTAACATTAAAAACCATAATGACTTTCCAAAAATCTCAAGGCTTGTTTTCACTTTGGCTATTGATTTAGCATGCTATGGTTCTCTTTCTTTGTTTTCCAAATGAGTGGCTTTTTTACACAACTCTTAGTTTATTCAGTGTCTCAAGTCACAGTGATAATAAAGTACATAATAGGATGTGGGAGTTTCCCATAATGTTGGTCATCACTGAGCTTGAAGTGGCCCCTGTCATTGAAGTTGAAAAGCTCAGCTTCCTGAAGTAATTTATTACTGACATTAGGCTGACAAGTCAGAGAAGGTAATATAGCAAGCAAAAATACATGCCTCACTTTTCCAAAAGCAATTTATGCTCAACTGCAAAACAGAATTTAAGATGGAAAATCCCATTACGTCTTATTTTGCTGCTTAAGCCAGAGCAGCATTGCTTTTTTGCTCAAAATTTATTCATTTAGCATAGTCATTAAAATATAGAAAAAATAGTGTCTGCTAGATGAAAACAAAAAGAAAAGTTAGAGGCAAAAGGAAATAACCAGATATTGACTGCTAGGAAAATATTTCTCTTGGTTATCAATGGCTATCTCAAGCA